AAACTCCTAACATCTATTATTCTTTGTTCTTCAATACCTAGTTGGTTTATTTGCCCATTCACAGAGGAATGTGGACCAGAGTGTTCAGAGAGAAAATTGTAATTGCCAACTGGTCCAACGTGGAGACTCTGGAGAGTGTAACTACTTCAGGTGGCTCGCATCGGCTTATTGTGAGACCAGAGACCAGTAATAAATGGCCCTTCCAAACTCAAGAGTTTTACTTACTTGTTGGGAATGATTTGTGGTATTTTATTTTTCAACTATTAAAGCATGAAAGGAACGATCAAAAGTGCCTGAAAGTCTTTGGGGCTTACAACTGAACCAATCTGTGAGGGACAACAGGCAGGAAATACCAGGTTCCCAGAATACATTTGTCTGCCTTCAGCAGTTTGAAGTCCCTCCACTAGGGCCCAAGGAACCACCAGAGCAGCCTGGCGACACAGGCCAGACACCAGCAGTGTGGACGTCACATTTCACAGGGCTCTGTTGTGAATTCAGGGAACACCAATTCCTTCTCAGTGTGCTGTCCGTGAAGCCTACACCTTTTAAAGATAATACTATTTTTTTTAATGTTTGCTTCTTTTTGAGAGAGAGAGACAGACAGAGTGTGAGTGGGGGAGGGGCAGAGAGAGAGGGAGACACAGAATCCGAAGCAGGCTCCGGGCTCTGAGCTGTCAACACAGAGCTCAATGCCGGGCTCAAACTCATGAACCGTGAGATCGTGACCTGAGCCACAGTCGGACACTTAACCGACTAGGCCACCCAGGCGCCCCCATAATACTATTTTCATTATCAGAATTTGTTCAGTACCCCTAGTTATGACCACCTTTAAAATTTAACTTATCTCAGAAAAAAAATTAACTTTACAGTAAATATTTTAAAAGTGGTTTTTTGTTTTTTTTGTTTTTTTGTTTTTTTGAGGGAGGTGGTGGGGTGGGGGTGGGGGGAGCAAGCCCATACAGTTCAGTGAAACCCATTTATGTATTTTTTTTCTTCTGCATTGTACCTCTTATTAATTTCTCTCCTCAGATTCTAGTTCTGAATACTTTGTGGAAAAGTCCTCTTCTTGGACTCCAGAGTCCTTATTTCCTATGAGATTATGGTGGCATTTTGTTATAATAATAAAAATAACAGCAGTTACTACCATGGATGTGAGACTTCATGTTGACGACCAGGCACATGCCTACTGCTTTATGTGGTTCCAGCATCTCATTCAATTCTCTAGAAACCCTATGAGGTAAACATTTTTACGGCACCAATTAGCACTTGAGGACTCAGGCTCAGCTAAACTGAGAGAGCTGAAAGAACAACCCCAGACTTAAGAATGATGAAGCCACTCCAGTCTAAAAAATATTTTCATTGTGACCTCACTTTGATTACATGAATAGATTTCTGAAAAGTGGCACATAAATTGAAGTGTTTTGATTAAATCATTATTAAACCATTAAGCGTGTACATTGAATGGGTGCCTGGGTGGCTCAGTCGGTTAAGCATCTGACTTCAATTCAGCTCAGGTCACGATTTCACACTTTGTGGGTTCGAGCCCCACATCAAGCTCTGTGCTGACAGCTCAGAGCCTGCAGCCTGCTTCGGATTCTGTGTCTCCCTCTCTCTCTAGCCCTCCCGCTCATGCTCTGTCTCTCTCTCAAAAATGAATAAACATTAAAAAAGTTTGAAAAAGAATGTACATTGAAGAAACTGGTGGTCAACCCAGGGCAGTGCTGGCATGTGGTTAGAGTAGGGGGGTAGAGTTGTGTTGAAGTTATTTGTGGAGAAAGCACCCTTTATTTGCTTAAATTTTATTTTTCTCCAGATTGCTACCATAGAAATATTTTCTAAAGATGTTTTATTCACACTTTGTATAATATTGAGTATACTTAACAAGTATACTTTTCTTCATGACTGTTATTAATTTGGGATACTTTTTCAAGGCTGATACAGATTATGGGGGCCTAAAACTCTTCTCTTCATAATAAAAACCAGAATCCACTTTTATATGTGAGTGATGATCTTTGACATTCTTACGTGCCCAGATTTTCTTACCTCTTTTTCCTTTGAAGAATATCTGTTCAAGAGATTATGCCAGCATGTCCCGGAACACAGATCTTTCCGCTGAATTCTTTAGTAGTATCAGAATAAAGTTGATTATGAAAGCCATTTTTCCTTATAGATACCCAAGAAGTTTGGTATGCAAATCTGACATTCATGACAACTATGTTACTTGGATTCTAGGAAACGTATCACAGCAGTTGACAGATTCATCTCACAGTGGTTTCTGAATGCCTAGCATCCCTTCTCCTTTATGGCCTTATATCTTCTACCCAAAGGGCCCATGATCCAAATAAGCCCCTCATTTCCCCACAGTTGTTAAATGATATCAATATTGGTTTAAAGGATGAATCCCCAGCTTTCATTTTTAACTCTGCTATCTACTAACTGTAAGGCCTTTGGAAATAAAAAAAAACAAAACACTATTTTTCCAAATTACACTTTTGCATCTGTATAATGATAAAATCATACTATCTATATAAAAGAGCTGCATGAGGCAATGTATCTAAAAGTTCTGCTAAAGAAAACTAAATAAGATGCAAAAATCCATATATCCACAAGGCATATGTTCTGATTGTAAGGGTTTTCTTTTATAAAGCAACTTGTTGGCCTACATAATCTTAGGTGGGTAGAAGAGAGTAGTGTGATACATGGTATGTAGGAGCATTATCTGATGTCTTAGCCTTACCTACTTTCCATTACTATTGAAATCCACCCAGCTCCCTCCCCTCCTATAAGTCACACTTCAGCCTTGCAGCAACTTAAGACAGCACTCCTAAAGGAATACCTAAACCTTAGGCTATATGTAGATTCATACAGGGTGTTTGTTTTTTATTGTGGTAAATATACATAATATAATATTTATAGGTTTAACCATTTTTAAGTATGGAGTTCTGTGGCATTAAGTACATTCATAATGTGTTAGCATTATCACCACCCTCTATCTCCAGAGCTTTTTCATCTTCCTCAACTGAAACTCTCTACCCATTAAATAACTTCCTCTTCCTCTCTCCCCCTACACCCTGGTAACCACTCTGGGTACATATTTTAATTATTAGCAGTAATGGATAAAATAACACTACCTGCTATAATGAACAAGCCCTAATATTTATAATGGTTCAAAACTGTTTGACTCTATAAAGTAGAAAAAGGATGTTCCTGATTGACAAGCAGTTCTCCCAGCTCTTCTCCAGAATTCTTGCAAATCTGGACTGCTCCATCATCCCTATATGGCTCCCAAGGTTCCCATGCTTGACTACCCCAGGCCCACAGGTGAAGGAAGAGAACACAGAGGTGACCACGTGTGCAGTTTTTCTAGGCCAGACCTAGAATCAGCACATGTTGTGTAACCTCAAACTCACTGGGTATGCTCGGTCACGTGACCTTGTCTCGCTCCCACAGGGGCTGGGAAATACAGGCAAGCACATGAAGAAGAAATGAGTTTGAGGATGAACCAGCCAGTCTCTGCTATATCAGTCAAATTAAGATTGTATAGATGCTCAAGAATCACCATTAATTCCCTTAGAACTTTGTGGGGTTTTTTTCTCTTTGGAGACCTAATTTGCCCTGACAGACATTTTAAATATTTCCCCAAACATAATAAAACCCCATGGCAAAATTAAAACGCACATATAATTCCACTGAAATGCAAGAGACAGTATCTAGAAATAGAAGCCTTAAGTATCAGTTGAGTAGGGACACCTGGGTGAGATGCTCAGTAGGTTGAGCATCAGACTCTTGGTTTTGGCTCAGGTCATGATCCCAGGGCTGTGGAATCAAGCCCTGCATTGGGCTCTGCACTGAGCATGGAGCCTGCTTAGGATTCTCTCCCTCTGCCCTTCTCCCCTACTTATGCACGTTCTCTCTCTCACTCTGTCTTTAAAAAAAAAAAAAAGGAGGAGGAGGAAACTGTTGTCTAGTTTAGGAGTTTCTTCTTCACCTGTCAGTAAATTATAAGAGACCAACGAGGATACAAATGTCTACAATAATGTGTGTTCTTAAAGAATACTTTAGTAGTTATTGTTTCTTATATGTTAGCATCTATATTCACAGGGCTTGTAAATTATAAGGAGGAGGAGGAGAAGGAGAAGGAGGAAACTGTTGTCTAGTTTAGAAGGAGTTCTTTCTTCACCTGTCAGTAAATTATAAGAGACCACTGAGGATACAAATGGTCTACAATAATGTGTGTTCTTAAAGAATACTTTAGTAGTTATTGTTTCTTATATGTTAGCATCTATATTCATAGGGCTTGTCCTCTCTTAATATGTACTACACCTTGCACCATGATCAGATTAATTCATTTGTCTGGAATCACTGAGGCAGTTTTTGATTGGGAAATGAATTGGACACACATAGATGTGGCTTGATGAACAAGGCAAGTAGACACGTTGCAATTTCTCCTCACGTAGAAAGGAATCTACCCTCCTTCACTAATTGCACTTAACGTAACCACAGGAACTCAAGCTCCATGCACATCAACACTTAGCATCTGCCTTTTCCTTTCATACAATGAGAGAAAATGCATAAATGCATTTGTTGGCAATACTGACAAAGACCGATTTGTGGAATAATTGAAACCTTGATTTCTGTCATTAGCCGGATGTTTACAAAATGCATCTTCCTGTCTACATTCCAGATGTTTCTTCTTATTTTAATAGCTCTTTGTCATGAGTTGTGAATTCTAAATTGTAAAATGTCAAGGGAAAAGACTTTAGTTTGCAAGTTTCATGGGAATGGCATAAACTTGAACTCCCCCAGAACCCTGTAATATTTATTTGTAGGCCCTTCCAATCTATTTCCCATAGTAAGCCAGAGGCCTTGATTTACAGCAGAGTCAACACTAAATGAGAAAGCAGACTTCGGTCCACCTCACTGCTTTGGCACATTAAGTAAATGTTTGGCTAAAAGTACTCATGTTAAAATAATCTTTCCCTGAAACTTTTATTTCCCAGGGAACGAGCATTGAATACATCCCAGCCTGGGTCCCTTCAGCTTACTGTGGGAAACCTGAAGCCAGAAGCCATGTATACCTTCCGAGTTGTGGCCTACAATGAGTGGGGACCAGGAGAGAGTTCTCAACCCATCAAAGTGGCCACTCAGCCAGAGTGTGAGTATGAAAATAGAAGGGCACATTTAGAAACTATTTCTTCTTGCTGGCAATATCCTTGAATCCTGTCATAGAAATTTCTTAAGGTAACAAGATGGAAGGAATATTTCTGAAGCAATGCATTAAACTCAAGGATTTTTAAAGGTAAGATAACTTTTTAACAAAATGGCCTCCCCGTTTAGGCCATAACGGCAAATTGACAACTGTTAAGGCCTAATCCATCCACGCAATCTACATGTTCACTTCCTAAGTAAGTAACTGACTAACTCTGCCAGCCAGGCCTTTATCATCCACATTGGGTATCGGTCTTCTCCACTGATTTTTTATGGGGTTTTCCGAGTTTGTCTATCAAGAATGTAACATCAAAGGTGAAAGAACAACCATATAGGACTTCCAAATACAGGGACTTATCAAATAACTTAAACATGCACTGAATGCCCTTAAGGAGATTCCAAAAGCAAGCCACAGCTCAAGAAATAAAAAGAGATAATCACTATTGGGCAATCTCATGATCCTCTAACTAAAATCACTATATTAAACCACATCTTCACAAAGTAAAACAGTTGAATGTTCTTTGACCATGTCATAATTCACGGATTTCTACTTTTAAAATGGAATAGCTCCAAAGCTATACAGTTGAAAGATGTCAATCTTATAAAATTTTGTGGTTTTTTTTCTATTAAACTTCTAATGGTATTTGGAAAGATTGATTACTGATGAGCAGTTTGCCAGCTTTATCTTGTTAAAATTTTTAAAAATTATAATCGAAAGTCTAAATGAAATGAATGGCTACTTGTAACAAACTACATTATTTAGACACCTAGTTGTATCTACTCCTTTTTCTTTTCATTCATGATACTATTCTGTTTGGGTTCCTGTTCATTTTATTTTTTAAAAAAAACTATGTTTCATTTTAGAATCATCTCACATGCTTTTGGAAGATGGTGAAGTAGAAATTAGAAATCTTTTAATTGATAAATATGAGGAAATAATCTTTGCATGTCAATTTTTGGGTGTTTTAAATTAGCATGTTGGGGGCGCCTGGGTGGCGCAGTCGGTTAAGCGTCCGACTTCAGCCAGGTCACGATCTCACGGTCCGTGAGTTCGAGCCCCGCGTCGGGCTCTGGGCTGATGGCTCGGAGCCTGGAGCCTGTTTCCGATTCTGTGTCTCCCTCTCTCTCTGCCCCTCCTCCGTTCATGCTCTGTTTCTCTCTGTCCCCCCAAAATAAATAAACGTTGAAAAAAAAATTAAAAAAAAAAAATAAATAAATAAAAAAAAATAAATTAGCATGTTGATGAACATGCAGTAACCCTCTGATATGTAGTCTAGTGCTGGTTTCATGCTCTATACTTAGCAAAATCTACATTCTTCTTTTTTCTACTCAGACAAGGTCGCAAAGACTAAATGTTAAGAAATTGGAATAAAAAATGTATTAGTGGTTGGAGAGAGAGCTGAACTATACAAATCTTAGAAATATTTGCCTCGTAGAAATAAAATGCCAAACAGCATCTTTAAAGGCATAGTATGGGGGCGCCTGGGTGGCGCAGTCGGTTAAGCGTCCGACTTCAGCCAGGTCACGATCTCGCGGTCCGGGAGTTCGAGCCCCGCATCGGGCTCTGGGCTGATGGCTCAGAGCCTGGAGCCTGTTTCCGATTCTGTGTCTCCCTCTCTCTCTGCCCCTCCCCCGTTCATGCTCTGTCTCCCTCTGTCCCAAAAATAAATAAAAAACGTTGAAAAAAATTTAAAAAAAAACAAAAATAAAGGCATAGTATGTACAGGTATCAGATAATGTTTAGGAAATACAGGCTCCAACACAGGATCCAGAAGCTACAGCAGGGCACTAAGCCACATTCCATGCAGTACGTTAGGTGACATCACTGGTTGTTATGCCCATAAATGAAGCCAGTTCTATCTCTAAGTATCTGTTCTTGAGAACGTTTTTAGTGTTTGTATTTAAATCACTAAATAATGCCAACTTCCATTTCACAATGTCTATGTTTTAGTCATCAGTTTCTTTATTAACTTATTCTTTATAGATCATATATAAAGAGAATCAATATCTTTTATGAATATATGATATTTATAATCAACAAAGTTGAATAAAAACAAATTAGGTAAAAAAAAAATATATATATATATATGTACACACACACACACATATATATATAATTTTTTTAAATGGTGCATGCCATGTTGTATGCAGACCAACAATTTAAAAACTCATCAGAAACTCTCTAAAGGAAAACCTCATTTAATTTTGTAATGGTAGAACATAAATGTTAAAAGCTTATTTATTTTCGGAAGATCCAATATCTATGAATTATCTGAATTCTTTACTTCCTAATCTTAATGGTATCCTAAGAATTTGTTTTAGTGTACATTTCAAGGCTGACTGGCCATGATTATATTATGTTTCTGATAAAAACCATAGGGAGACAGCCTTGTTTTTTTAAGACTGAACAACATTATTTTTTCTTCTATCAATTCCATTGTTTCTAAGTATCCAACTAAAAATATCAATTTATAGAGTTTTATTTTTAACTTACTTTCTCTTATGCCAACTTTTCAAAGCCAAGGAACAAGAAAGTATTTTTCATTTGACCCTGACTCATTTCATGAAAATACTACTAATTATATAATATTTTCTACCATATTTAGTATCATTAATAAAAAGAAAATCAGACAGTGATTATTTGTATCACACATATGGCCTTAGCTTATAAAACAAAAACAGTAACATAATTCAATTTATAAATATGTTTAATGAACATCTGCTATGTTCCTAATACTGTTTCCTGCCATCTGAAGCATGTTAGAAAAGCATATGTGTGTAATGAAATAATAGCACTTATGGATTTCAGAAGATTCTTAAGGAGGCAAATATTCCAAATGTGTAACAATAACAAAACAAAGTAAGGGAACTTGTAGGAAGTTGTTAAGTGAAATATTACCATTTCAATCATGGGTTTGCATGTGGGCCCATTACCTGGGATGGTTGAGGCATAGTGTCTAGTTATTTTTGTATTTTTAAATTACATCATGCCTGCTTCCTCAAGCAAGTGTTGTATTTCAAAGACAGCTGCCTTAGCCCTTTTGTATGTCTTCCATTCCTCCTCATTCAGTAAGTAGTCTGAGAATTTGTGCAGAGGACCTTATGTGTGCTGGTTTCAGTAAGCATTTACTTTGCTTAGAAATTAGCATAAATGATGATAAAACTAAATGCCTGACTGAATAAAGTATGTTGCTTGTTAGAACTGTTGCCTGATATAAGTGATCTTTTCCCCAGAAAATGAAATGTAGAATCTTTCTGCTTTGGTAACATGAAGGAGCTTAGAATTTTTTCACCAAGGGCATAATAATGACCTTAGAATTCTAACCATGTGTTGGCCTTTAATAACAGTATCATTATTAAATCACTTCTGTTCTTACTGCTGCATGGAGTAAGAATTCTTTCCTTTACAGGCCATTGTTTACTTGAATGGGGGTGGGGAGTGACCTGATTCTGTTTTGTTGAGAATTGCCTTAGATAATTCCCCTCTTACTTAGTAGATACATAGATAAGAATAAATCAGGCTAGATAAACAGTACATTCAGAATATCCTTTAGATGTACAAAACAGTTAGCCAACTCCTTCAATTCATTTACATTAAGAATACTGTGTAGCTCACTTGCTGTCTTTATTACAGACATTAGAATAAATAAATTATGTTATCATGACTAATAGGTACTATATGTGTATTTTATCTTCTGTTGTTAACACAAAATGCCATTTTGGCAATTTAAAAATATGTCTAAGATAAGGAACACTTCATCTTCTTCAAGCCTGCTTGATAGTGTACCAATTGCTGAGGAAGATGGAACATTCTAGAGATCCTGTGCTTCATTTCCTCTCCTCTCCTCTCTTATTTCTCCTTTGTCTCTCTCTCTCCTTTCCTCCCCTTCTAGCCCCACACCCCCCCCCCTCAGCTTATGAGCCTACTGTTATTTTTTTTAGAGGAAGTTCAAAGGCCGATTTTATTATTTGGCTAAAATTCAGAATTTAGAGGCAAGGGAGGTGGGCAATTCTATCATTATTACTTTCCCTGACAAAATGATCTCATCTTTTGAAAATGGGCTTCATCTGGGTATGCATTTGGTTGCTCCTTTTATCACTGTTTTTCCAAATATGATGTAGTAATTGTACACTAAAATTACATAGCTTTTATACAAATTGAATTTCAAGTTTTCCATAATATTTGAAAATATTAACTCTATTATGAAAACCATATTCTCAAGGAATAAACACTAATGGAAAATATGTCTGAAATATAAATCAGCCAGCAACTGTTTCTAAAACTGCATACATTTTGTAGTAATCATTTAAAGAGATCAACAGCCCCAGATCCAGTTTATGAAATAATCACCCAGAATAGAAAAGCTTGATTTAAAGGAAGGTTTATGTCCCCTGATTATATCTTCCTTTTGCTAAACCCTTGCTTCTTCCCCCTGCCTTTATGGTGTGTAATTTCTCCACTGTATTATCAGCTGGATTTAAGTCCCTGCCTGCTTAAGACTTGTCTAATCTTTTCATACCACATGTGGAGAGTTTTTGAATTATTATTTGGGGTCCTTTAAGATGCTGTTAAGGCAGTTTAATCGTGAAGAATGTTAAAATGGACCACATACTGGCCTAGGGCTTCAGTTAGAATGGGAAGCCTATTTGCTAGACCACAACCCAATTATCCACAAAACCCTTTTATATTTGAGTTGTGAGTAATATTCTTAGTCCATTATATTTACACTGAAAAGATGAGTGAAATCCACCCCCCCCCAGGTTGAGTCACTTTAGAATATATTATCCAGAAGCATAGGCATATTTTCTTTTTTCCCTCCTTCCATGGATATTCATTCATTTATTGACTCATTCATTCATTCATTCATTTGAATAGGGCTCTACTTGTACAGTTGTTATGAGGGAAATGAGAAATTTCTGAACATCATTTGTTCAATATTAGTACCT